GAGCGGTTCCAGAGCAGTTTTGACTCCAGCTCCCAGTAATCAGTGCCAATGCAAATCATGGTTGAGAGTCGCACTGGATGTCCACCGTTGGGGCTGACCAGCCGCAGATGGCTGACGCCTGCTGTGTGCAGGAAGCATGACTGGGCAACATCCTGGCAGCAGAGCGATCGCTAATGACGCTGGATTAGTTTCAAACAGGCAAGGCCAGACTCATCCCTGCTGCTGCCTGTGCTGCATCAATGGGGTTCCACAAAGGATAGACTTGGCTCTTGTATTTCATGGGCTAGCTTTGCAAAATGCCACACGGTATCAGCATCAGCAGAAACCCACGTAAGGTTTGCAGCACTGGAGATACTGAAGAACGCTGGAAATGTGCAACAGAGACTGACCAGCCAGAGCCGCGTTGCTACTGGAAGAGGGGAAAAGTCCCAGTTTGATACTACATTCAAAGCCTGATGTGTTCATATTTCCATCCAGATTACGTCCAACTCTTCCCCACAGCCCCTGTAAAAGAGCAATGTGGCTCTTCCTGTTCAGGACCACCTGAGCCCCCTGAAATCCTTGTACATGGAGTCGGTGAAGTTAAATTTAGGGAAAGCCAAATCTTTGGGGATTTCTAACAGGAAAGTTAATGAAAAAAAACAAAACACCCAACACAACAGCAGCTAAAACTAGAATGCCTCCAGCCAGCCCCATGCATTTGCTCCAACAAATACACAGTTTGGTAGGACTCACTGATCATCCCAGCCCTTCATTTCAGATTAAACCTGGTATTTTAACTGGGGATCAGTCATATACCTGGCATTTGCAGGGCAAAAGACTATAGGATCGAACCAGGTCTTTTCTTTTGCCTCCTGGCTGCAAAATGTGTTACTGGGAGGTGACCATCTCTGGAATCAAGCATCCACTGATGCTCACGTTCATCAACATGGGCTTTTCTTCAGGAAAATTGCCCCGGGGGCCGAAACAGCTGGGAGTTGGTGCATAGTGCCCTATCCATCTCTACTGTACCTGGTGGGGCTGGAATTTGTCCCCGGGCATGAGCACCGCGCTGACTTTGACCAAGCTACACACCCAGGCGGGGGCAGCTCTGACAGCGGCAGGTACTGGCCTTGGGCTGCGGTGTCACCCAGCACCTCCCAAATGCTGTCTGCATCTCGCCCCTCCCTGTGCTCACATCACTTCCCACGTGCACCAAACCCCTTTCAGCCGGTTCGGCTCCCTCGATCCCAAATTCTAGCTAATGCACATTGCGGTTTCCAGGTCCTGGAACTTAAAGATAAAACTTTGCCGGTGACTTAAATATAAAACTTATTTACATAAAACATACACATGGCCAAGTTCATGTGCTATCGTGAAAGCCGTGCTCAGCCCGTTGTCTTCGCTGATGGAGCAGCTCCTGTACGGATCGCAAACGGTGCCCAGTTCGGCCAGACCTAGGGAGACAGCAGCAGGTTTATGATAAGGTCACGCAAACAAGCAAGAACTGTTGCCTTGCGGCTAAGTACTTATTAACACTGTCACCACAAAAAGATTGCAAAAGAAAGAAATAGAGCTTACCTAACGTATCACATTTGTCGTGAGCTCTACAAATATCCTGCCTGAAAGCAGAACAGACTCGACACTTAATGCTCATGCAAAGCAAGTACAGGTACAGACACAAAATTAGAACAAATATATATATTTCAACAGCAATGCTGGGTTCTGCCCCTGGCATGCTCAAGCTGATTTTGCCATACAAACATCCAGTACATGGGACAGCTCTGAAGCCTGATCCTACTGCCGACAACCTCCTCTCCAAAGGCAAGGAGAGCGTTGGCCATTTACATCAGCAGGATGATAAACAGGCCCTGAATATTATTATAATCCTAAAGGCATGAGGACAGAAGAAGGCATTTCTTTTCATTAAGACGTTGCTTCCATATTTGTGATGCAAATGCTTCTTTTAATGCCTGTGCTACCAAAACCCAGTTTCTGATGATCCCGTGCCTTATATAAACCAATAGCTTCTACCTCGGCATATCTACACTGCAAACCTAGCACATCAGGCAGTAGCATGGCTCAAACATGATAAGGCTCAAACTCTGCTAGGAGTAGGTGAGAGAGCATGGCAGGCACATCTAGGCAAACCACCACCCAGCACGGTAGGCAAGGCATGTAGATATGCCTCTTGCAATACCCCGGTGGCTACGCCGTCAATAAAAATGCACCCTACCTGGTCACAAGCACAGCAGTATCGTGTTTGGGTAGATGGCTTTCTTCAGGGTGATTCTGTGATTGCTGCCATTGGCAGAAGTTTTTTAAAGTTGTCTGGGCATTATAAGAGATGGCAGGACCATCCTAACCATAAAAAGAGTATAAAAAGAGGTGCGTTTTAGTCGTTTCCTATCAGTTTTTTCTACCTGCGCTACTTCAAACTCAAAGAGCAAAAAAAAAAAAATACTTTCATTACCTGCTCATTATGTATCACGACTAATTTCACAATAACAATATTAATTAAATTTCCAATACTTGGATCTCTATAGATAGAGGCTACCTGCATTGAAAGATAAATTCAAAGTTAATGGTGGCATTCAAACAAACAAAGAATTAAGGCAATGCAAATCTGTTCCATCATCTGCTCTGGGCAGGGGAGACTATTTCTCTTGCCTGTCAGCTATTTTGCTCGCTCCCTTGGTGCAACAGTACTAATTGAAGCAAATTATCTTGTGGTGCTTGTAAATCGCACTGCAGATTTCAGCATCATTTTACAATACGAAAGAAAAATATTGTGCATCAGAACCCCAACATTGCCTTCTTGGCCCAAGCCTTTTTGACTTCATTTCTGCACACATCTATCATCACCACGTTGCTGGGGCATACTCTGCCCATAGCCCTCACCAGCCATGGTTTTCAAAAGGAAGGAGGGATTTCATGTGCTTCTGCTTCTGGGTTACCCAGCGTCAGGTGGCACACATGTTGAGCTCTGAAAATCATAACCCGCTAAATATATTTCTCAAACAAGACACCCAAAATCACTTGTCACGTTTGATGGTCGTGCCCACTCAACTGCCTGTAATAAGTGTTTTATGAACATTTAAGCATGGGCTTATCTTCCCTGATTTACATTGTATACCACCCTCTGGAAATCTTTCATTTTTGGAGAAATTTAGATTTATCCTGTTACTTCTTTCCCCAGCCCCCTGACATCCCTCCTCTGCTAGGCACCGTGTTAATTATTTAAGTCAATATCAAACACATTTCCTTGCTGGTAAATGTCCCGTCATCGGATATAATTGCAGGTATAAGGAGGAATCGGAAACTTAAGGAAGCATAGAAAATGAGGGTTGGAAGGGACTTCAGGAAGTCATCTAGTCCAACACCTTGCTCAAAGCAGGACCATCTCCAAGTAGATCATCCCAGTCAAGGCTTTGTCCAGCTGGGTCTTACAAACCTCCAAGGATGGTTATCCTGGTCATACTTATCACTCCGTTGCAAAAGACTTTGTTTTAAGAAACACAACGGCACTTGCTCCTGTGCAAAACATCAGCACAAGAGCTCTGGGGGTAGGCAAGACCTCTCAAAGCTGGTCACTGATCTGGATGCAAGGAGTCAATGGAAGATGAAGCCACTGAAATGCTCCTGAACAAGTTGAAGAGTTAAGGAAGGCACCATCAAGACTATCCCCTTTTTGCCTGCAACGGTATGAGCCACAAAGACCCCTGCCTTCATAAAGGGACGTCAACTGATTGCAACGACCCACATGAGCCTCATGTTATATTTTCTCCTTCCTTTATAGTTTCTCCTTCCTTTTGGCAGGAACCTACAAATCCCAGGATCCAGCAAAGCCACCTTCTGACCCACCCAGGGCGCACGTCCCATTTTCTTTCTTTGGCGCATCAGCCCCAATAGCAAGTGGACTAAAGACCAAGGAGCACAAGGCTGCGACAGTCCCAGCCCCCGGGGCTGTGGGAGGAGATGGGCTTGAAATTTGGTCAACCCGAGCCCAATTTATCCCAGCAGGCAAAGGAAAGGACAAGCTGCGTAGTTCATCGCAGTAAAAGCAGAGGGTTCGATCCTTGCTCAGTTTGAACACTTACTATTGACATTAATGTTAGGACGTAGTGCTGCAGATTAGCCCCGTGGTAGGCAACCATCCTGCTGTCTGCCACCACCATCACTTCCACAAACCGCGGGTACGAGAGAAATCGCTTTGTCCTTCGGTGCGGCTTTTTTTCACCGGCATTCCCAGTCTTGTTGCTATAGGTAGAAAACTGACTTGCTGCAATGCTGTCTTTTAATACCTCTATATCGGATAAAATACCACTCTCTTGCCACTGTCTCCGCCGGTGTTTCCTCCTGTTCTTTCTGTGACTGTTTTCATGCCCTATGGGTTAAAAATAAATAAATAAATAAACAAACAAACCCCCCAAAACTCAAAAGACAGACATGAAAGACTGTATATATTTTGGATGAAGCCCGTTCAGAACCACGTGCATGGCATGCTGGACGTACTCCTAGTGGCCTACCTCCTAAAATCATCCCTTTTGTTTTAATTAAAACCCAAGCACTAAACAGAAGGCTACAGTTTAGCAAAGCACTGAAAAGCTTTTTTAAACTTTCAGCCAACGATGCTTAACATTTAGCACGTGCTAATGCCGCTCTGTTAAACCGGGTTGCACCCCAAAGAGCCCACGCAGCCTAAACCTCCCGCTAGGATCGTTACACTGGCTCTCAGACTCCCTGTCCAGTCCCACGCACCACGGATGAAAAACCAAATCCTGCCTTTTTGGGGTTTTTTTCCACTAAATAAGGATGTCGGGATCTGGCCCCATGAGTGAAGCAATTGCATGCGATTCATTTCTGCCTGAAACAATAGCATGGCTGTGCTTCAACTATTTTTCCCCCCCCACTCTTATTATTCTGTGCCACAGAAACGCTAAAGGTCATCTAATAACACAGCTGCTGCTGACTAAAGAATAGGATCCAGGAAGTTTCACATATACCGCTTTTGATATTCAATTAGTCAAAACAAAAAAGCAGCCTGAAAGTATGTTCCACGCTGATACGGAGATGGCAGAGCGAAGAGGGAGCATGGCCCAAGAAAACATATGGAACATGTACAATTAAGATTTACCACCTGATTAGTATGTAATTATAGCATTATTGAAAAAGTACGAGCAAAATCACCGGCCTTTGATGCCACTTAAATTTTTAAATCAGCTCATCATAGGAAGGGGCTAATTGCATGCAATTCATCCACGAGAGACTGTCCAGCACGGCAAAGTAACGTAAACCCAAATCAAAACTGCTCATCTAGGCTACAACCCGGGCGTTCTTTGTAGCTTTGCTTTAATTTCGTCACGGCAGGCGAAAAATATCAAATTCCCTTATCTGACCCACCGAGAACGGTACAGGAAGCCAAATATTAGGCAACAAAGGGATGTCTGGTGCTCGAACAAGATCGAAATGATAGGGAACTTCTCAGCTATTTTCCACGGGTAGTTTCCTTTTTGGGCTGTTTCAAGTAATAATTTCCAATGTACTGATTTTTAAATATGCTCCTAACGATCAAGGACCAGCTGAGTGTCTGGCTCATTCGCTATCCAACTGGGTATGGTGAGCTTATCCCCTGTGTATGAACATACAGCATAGCACTTAAATGCTAAATGCTCACCGATACCAACCTCTCTGCATTCGCTCCCTGTTTTCTTAGTTGATGCAAAATACCGTCAGACAGTTTAGGTGCGGACGATTAACTGATCTTTAAGTGAGACGTCTGGATAGCCCTCAGCAGTCATATATAACTGGATCGCTCCATTTATGCTGCTCTTGCATCAGGCCTAATTCTGCTTCCATACTAGCACAACTTCAAAGCCGCTATGGCATTACCTGGATAGGAATCAGCATGGAAACAGGCCACTTGTATATATATATGTATGTACACTTAGCATTTAAATGTTATGCTGTATACACAGGGGATAAGCTCACCATACCCAGTTGGATAGCGAATGAGCCAGACACTCAGCTGGGCCTTGATCATTAGGAGCATATTTAAAAATCAGTACGTTGGAAATTATTACTTGAAACAGCCCAAAAAGGAAACTACCCGTGGAAAATAGCTGAGAAGTTCCCTATCGTTTTGATCTTGTTCGAGCACCAGACATCCCTTTGTTGCCTAATATTTGGCTTCCTGTACCGTTCTCGGTGGGTCAGATAAGGGAATTTGATATTTTTCGTCAGCCGTGATGAAATTAAAGCAAAGCTACAAAGAACGCCCGGGTTGTAGCCTAGATGAGCAGTTTTGATTTGGGTTTACGTTATTTTGCCGAGCTGAACAGTCTCTCGTGGATGAATTGCATGCAATTAGCCCCTTCCTATGATGAGCCGATTTAAAAATTTAAGTGGCATCAAAGACCAGTGATTTTGCTCGTACTTTTTCAATAATGCTATAATTACATACTAATCAGGTGGATATATATATATATATATATCTATATATAGGCCAGTTATGTACATGTGTAACTTTGCAGAGAGAGGAAGGTAGGCAAGTCTCATAGGCCCAAAGGATATAAGAACGGAGGTGTCTAATCCCCAATTAATAGGAACCGCACCATGACATAGGACAGTCTCTATATGGATAGGTGCAGATCTCTAGGGGAGTGCAAATTAGTTCAGCTGAGCTGAAAACAGCGATTTAAAGCAGCCTTATCGACTATTCTTTCCATCACTCCAAAAAGCGAGAAATTCAAATGACCCTTTAAAGAGGAATCTCCAACCTAAAACGGAGCCATTAAAAAAAGAAATGAGTTCAAAACGGTCCAAGGGGCTGTGCTTGCCCCGAGTCCTCAACCTATTTTTTCTGCTTTCATAATCACATTTTCATGCTTCATAACATTTTTTTTTTTTGCCTGCTCTGTGAAAAGCCTGCAGGAAAAGAAAGGATTGTATCGCCAGAGTCGCTGATCCTGCAGCCTGGATCAGGGAGGCAGCGCGCCACAAAAGTCACGTGTGCCGCATGAAGTCAGGGCATGCCAGATGTGGGAGTCCTGCCCAGGCCAAAGATTGGGGGCCACAGGTTGAGTCCCACCTGCCCTGCTAGCATCAGGGAAGCCGTGAACCAAATCGTACCCAGCCAGAAAGTTGACAAATACACAAAGTTAAAAAAAAGGATCCTAATCATTGCTGTTGCAATAGCAAAATGGACTATAAGTTGGGCGAGGGCGTGCTTTAAAAGACAACCGATTCTCCAAGGTAGAGAGTGATTTCTACAGGACCAGCTGAAGGCTGCAGTCATATTTATATATTATGTATTCCAGTCTAGTTACTAAAAATCTAATCACAGCTTTAGCTGGGCAGCATCAGATTTAAAACCGCTCATGGACTTTGACAATAATGGGCTGTTATCTTCCCCCCATCTTTCTTGCGCGTAACTGCAACTCAACCAGAAACCGTACATTTTAATTTGTAAAAAATTAAACCCTAATGGCAATATACCACTCTCAATCCATGCATAAAACTCCCATCAGCTTTAACGGGAGTTGTGTGCACAGACTGAGAGAGCTATATGGGCCTAATTTTGTTGATATCTAACGTGTCACCATTAAAATGACCACAGGATATAAATGTATAACTGCTGAATGGCTTTGCATCCTGCGACCTAATTAAGCTGAAATGAAAAACTCTCCCATCATCCCAGAAGAGCATTATTGAATGATGACAGTTCACAACTGCAGCATGGACAGCAATGAAAAAACTAGCTTATTTTGAGCTAAAGACAAAAAAAAACCAAAACAGGGCTGATATTTTTCCACCTGATTTTGCAGTTATCTACCGTGCTGATGTATTAGCAGAAAACAGGAAGGAAAACATTTGCTTGGCAATGCCTCTGTTCTACCAAATGACCTGGAAAACACCTGCCTACACATGACAGTAATTGGATGGGTTTAAGTAACAACGTATACTCTTCTATTCTCAGAAGAACCCAACTCCCAATTACTAGATGAGTTTACAAGTGTCTACCATTTAAAGCAATGCAACAAATAGATTCATAATCCAACCACAGATGAAACCGAATCTTTGGGCAGATTCAGCCATCAATGTTTGTTTTAAAAAGGTTGGAAAAAAATAACATAATATTTTTAGAGCGCTGGTCCTTTAAACCTAGTCTGTTTTAATGACTGCTTTAACTTATCAAACACACAAAACTTCTTGTGTCCTGCAAACTATCTGCAGATTGACTTTCCCTCGTAACTGCTACTATACTGAAGTCGGTCCAACTCTGCAACCTTTCTCATACGTGAAGGTCCTCTGGGTCTGTTTCCACCAGCACCCTGAATCTGGCACGCTCATTTACACTAATATCAAATGAGTGTATAGCACTGCTGACAGCATTTTATACCCACTCTGCCCTCATTTTGGCATCATGTAGATGGGAAGCCTGTCCAAATGTCTCTTGCACTAAAGTCGGTGCAACTCGTTCCCCCAGATTTAAATGGGCTTTGGATCAGGCCAAGAGGGGAGCACGGCAAGAGAGCGTCGGGCCCTGTACAATGACTGACTGCATTAGTAAGGGTGACAGGAGCAGACCCAGGGATTGCTTTTGAAGTAGTAACCATTGTTATGCTAAAATCAAAAATTAAAAGAGAGTGATCACTTATCCCTAACAGCTATAATCCTTTCCATTTCCACATTAACTTGTCCTTGGGAATAGAAAGCATTTTGCACAATTAAATAAGGCATGTGACAATGAAAGCAATTCCAGTTCAGCTTCGAGTTCATAAAAGCTGAACACCGCAGTAGGAGGGGGAAAAAAAAAAGCAGCTTCTGAGCTAACAGCATTAACATTCTCTCCCCGGTTAGAAAAAAGAAAGCACGGCGCTTTTAAACTAACTTATTATCACATGCCATTTGAATACATAACCTGGTGTTTTACCACTTAGGGTCTGCTCTTCAGTTGTTAGTCTACAAAGTTCATAAGGACTCCTCTGACCCAGGTATCCCGATGCTGAGAGCTATAGTTAGCAAGTTAATTATTGCACACCTTCATAAAGCTTAGCAAAATTTAACTCCAGTCCCTCAAGGCAGTTAAACACCCCGTGACCTGACACCCGGCGACTGAAGCTGGTCAGGAGAGTGACAGGAGGACAGGGCATGCACCCTTCCAAATGTCTTTGCATGTCGGCTTCTTTAGAACCAACATCTGCCCTTACTTGCCTGAAGTCACCGGGATGACTCGTGTGAATAAGAGGTCTAGAGCTCTCTGGAGCAATTGCAGTTCCTATTGCTAACCGCGCCAGCTCTCACTAATCAGACACGACCAAGAAGAACTTTTTTCCAGCTATTCAGTTGGTCTAATAAAAGATATCACCTCTACCCAAAGAAGCT